TAGACCCAGTATATCACAGACCTCTTTCTAGACCAGTAAATTTCATGTTCTCAGGTGACTTTAATGGCCCCCTCTGTGGGTACCCAAAGGAAGAGTAGGGCTGTTTCCTTTTGTGCTATTTTAAACATTGCTGCAATAAATGTCCTTGTGAATGTTCCTTTATACACTTTTGCTATTATATTTGTAGAATAGATAAATAGAAATAGAGTTGATGGGTCTCGGGATTTTTACATTTTGAATACTAATCAATAGTCACAAGCTACCCATAATAGGTTGTCCCCACTCTCTGACTTTACACAAGTCCCACATAGCTGTCCTGTAAAGTTGAGACCATCTCCATTCTCATTACTCCGGAAAAAGGAATTTTTAAAAATTTGTTTCTGTATCTTTCTTCACATTACACTCTTAACAATGTCTTTCTCCACTTACGTTTTTTCCTTTCTAGAGAAATCCAGCTCCTGGAAGGTTTAATTCCTTCCCTTATTTGCCCCATCATTGTTTCTCTATATTTATTTTTGTAAATTACTTGGAAAGTGGTAATATTTTATGTAATTACTTGTGTATTGTGCTTCAACAGGCATTTTAACGGGAATATTAAGACATATTTTCACAATGTTCTTTGTTCTTGGCTTATTTTCCTTTCATCCAAAAAGAAAGACTAAAGCTGTCTCTGATTCCCAAGATCTGGAAATCTCCTTTCTTAATTTTGTACATACTCCCATTTAAAAGAATGTATTATAGGTGGACCTGGGTGGCTTAGACCTGGGTGGCTAAGCGTCTGCCTTTGGCCCAGGTCATGATCCCAGGATCCTGCTATGGAGCCCCGCATCACATCACATTGGGCTCCCTGCACAGCAGGGAGTCTGCTTCTCCCTCTCCCACTCCCCCTGCTTGTGTTCCCTCTCTCACTGTGTCTCTCTCTGTCAAATAAATAAACACAATCTTTTTTAAAAAAAATTTTAATTAAAAGAATTTTTTAAAAAAGAATGTATTATAATTCAATTTTTGCGTGTCTGATTCCACTAGACTTTTTTTCCAATTATTCAATGAATACTTATTGAGCAACAGGCCCTATTCTAAGCCATGAGTGTATAGCATAAGATAAAACAAGCCAAATTCCCTTCACTCATAAATCTCATGTGGCTGGTGAAACAGACAACAGACAAGATAAGTAGAATATTATATGTTAGGCGTTTGTAGAAATCCAGGTGAGAAGAGTAGAGATAGATTCATTGTGTGTTTTGCAAAGAGATCCAGTAAGGCCTGCTTTGGGTAGAACATGGGGTTTTAGAAAAATGAGCAATCAGAAATGATGCACAGGTTTCTGTTAGGTAACTGGGAAGATGTCATGGCCATTCAGGTTGGGGAAAATTGAGGGAAAGACATGTTTAGGTGATAAAAATTGTTCTGGTTAGGTTTAGATGTCTGTTGAGCATTCAAGTGGAGACATCAAATAAACTGTTGAATACAAGTTTAGAGCTCAGCAGTTTGACCTGGAAATAAATATTGGGGAATCATTTAGCATGTATAGGTACTTTCAGCCATGGAGATGTGTGAGATGGTGTGAAGAGTGTAAGGAGAGAGAATAGAGGCATTCTGACATTTAGAGGCTGGACCAAGGAGAAAGAGCCAAAAAACAAAAACATAAACAAACAAAAAACCACACCAAAACTGGGAAGGAGTTTGCAACGATGTAGCATACAAACCAGGAGAATGAGAGTGAGGTGGAAGGTGGGTGTGGATGCCAAGGTTAGAGAATGTTGCAAGAAGAGAGTAAAGCTGCCAAATGCTGCAGAGAAGCACAGAAGAGAAGATAGGAAAGATCTTAATCTGTCAAGTCAGAGGACATTGGCAAAAGCCATTAGAGTGTAGTAATGGAGATGGAAGACAAATTGGAGTGAATTGAGAAGAAAAGATGAAGTGAGAAAATGGTGAGAGCATATACAGCTTCTCTGTATCTCCATGGTCAGAAGTAGCAATCAGCAGTCAGAAGACAGACTTCTCAGGTTGGGAGGACAGGGTCCTTTGTGTCTGCTCATGCTCCTGCAAGAGCCGGGGCTGGGAGATGGGGGGTGGGTAGCTGCTTCTGTGCTAAGAGCGGACATTGACTGAACCTAACTGCACTTTACCGTCCAAGCTTTTGCCTGGAAATTGCAAGCCTTCAATAGACTCCAGAGTTCCAACATGGTTATATCAGATTCTGTCAATGCAATGGATTGTCTAGGTGGGGAGACAAGATTCCTGGTGCTTCCTACTCCACCAGCTTCCCAGAATCCTTTCCTCAAATGATTTTTTGAAGATGGGATTTATTAGAGACTATTTCTGGGAATAGTCAATGGGGAAAAAAAAAAACTCATAATGACACAAGAGAAATTGCATATTATTGCAGTCATCACTCTTTGAGAAAGGCCAGCGAGGATAGGCTTCAGAGCAAAAAGGGAGGCATTCATCTTTGCTGGGAGCTGGAAGCATCCATATACTGTAAAAGGAAAGATTGAGAACAAAGAAAATTAGAATTGGTGGTGGAAGTGTGTAGTTAAGTAGATAGATTTGGTGGTAGGAAGGAAAGGAATTTCCTGTGATTGCTTAAAAATTTTTGGTAAAATACAAGGGCAAGTTATCAGCTGAGAATGCAGTGTAAAAAGTGGGAAGGAATTGTTGAAGGTTTGAGAAAAGAGGAGAAAATATGAATTAGTCATTTTTTGCAGGCACAACATCAAAGGTATCTTTAAAAGTATATAGGATTGTTATGGAGAATCAATTGCTTTCTTGAGATTTAGGATAAGAATCATCATGGCTGTGGTGCTTTTCTCTGGTGTCAGTCAGCTGCTTGTGGGAAGGCATAGAGTAGGTAGGTAAGAGGCTTAATTAATGTGATAGCGATTACTTACTGTTCCCAAATATCCATTTTTCCCTTTCCCTTAGTAGTATTATTCCCTGAGTGTTAGCTGGTCTTGCCCAGCAAGAGATTACATTTTGAGCTTCCTTTGTAGCTAAATGTCATCCTGTGCTTACATTTGATCCAATGCATATAAGAGGTGATGTGAACAACTTCTGGAACATCTTCCTAAAGAGTAAGCCATGTGCCTTGGGCCTCAGCAAGTCACTATTGTCAAAAGTACATATATGACAGAAAACCAGCAAACAACCAAGTAGTAATTCATAAAAGTTTATTGTGCACACACCAAAATACAGTTTGCAAACTGGGAGCACTCAAACCAAAACATGGAATGAGCCTCAGGGTATATGGTTAGAGGACAAGGTCCCTTCTGTAAGGGGTAGTTTATATAGTGGGAAGGCAGTGGTTATTTATACTTCCCAGTGATTGGTTATAATAGAATTTTCTTAAATAATAGGGAATTGGTCTGTAATGACTTCATATTAACCTTGGGAACCAGTTCAAGTTTTGCTTATGATTTCCAGACACAATCGAGAAATAACCCAGGTCAAGTTAGTCTTCCAAAATAAGCTAAATTAAGCTTTGTATGAAGGTCAAGGAGATAGCAATATTTGGGGTTGTCGTGTCTGATAGCATGAACAAGATCCAAGTTTTGAAGAGGAAGGAGAATGATTTATGAAGCAAAGAGGATACCTCTCTTCTCTCTCATCTTCAAGCCCACAGGTATCTGGTATAAGAGAGAAAAACCACATCCTGTTGCAAGGACTGCAGAGCAGTGGGAGCATGTGACTCGAAGGGGATAACAGCGTTTCAGTCTGTTGGGAAATGAAGGTGGGTGGGAGTGAAGGGACTGTTCAGAGAAGATATTATAGATAGAGTACTGATGACAGGTCTTGAGACTTAGAGGCACAGGAAATGTTGAGGGAGCCAGGGAGGAGTAAGAGGGGTTGTATTCATGGATAGATTGGGGTGATGGGTGAAAACAGTTGGGATTTCTAGCGGTTCCCAGGGCTAATGGAAACATACATTGACAAAGTGATCCTAAGGTCCAACTAGAGGAAGGTCAGGAATTGGTTTAAGGTGGGAAGCACAGACGACCCAGCACTCTTGCATCCAGCTGAGATCTAGTACCTAAAAAGCAAAGACATCTTCTGAGACTTTGGTCTCTTGGACAGTTGCAGTGATGAGCCAGCCACAGGAGCAGCCTAGTCACTGAAAGCTCCAAGAACTCTGTTAATTCACGGTATTTAAGTTCTCTGTGCTGAAGTTTCTCAATGACGTGGATGGGATGAGGATGATAATGGTACTTATTTGATAATTATGCAATAGATTGAATTAACAGCTCTAATTCTTCACCCCTCCCTATGTGTACACCCTCTGCCTGTGACTTTGCAGTAATACTAAAGAGATGGATCTGTTTTTTCTCCCTGTTAATCTCGGTCTGGTCATGGGAGTCCATTTGGCCAACAGAATTTGGTAGAAGCAATGGTGTGCCATTTCTGACTGTAGGTCCTGAGAAGCCCAAATATTTCCACTCTTGTTCTTATGCTCTTGCTTCTCCATGAAAACGACATACCCAGGCAAACCTGTCAGTTCCAAGAGGAGGATAAGAGACACATACAATGGGTCTGCCCTAACTAAGATACCCCAGCCAAGCCCAAGCCAAGGCAGAGCTCCCAGGCAACCATTAAGCACCGAAGTGAGCCCAGCTTAGGTTGGCCTCAGTAGACCACAGATATGTGAGCTTTAACAAGCAAGAACTATTGTTTTAAGCAACTAAGGATTGTAATGGTTTGTTATACAGAAATGGCTAACCAATATAAAATATAAGGCATCAAACATGGTACATGGCATTTGGTAATTACTCAATTAATGTTATTATTCTAGTTACTATGCTCTTAACAAGTTACCCCAGAATTATTGGTTGGAAACAATTATTTATTATGCTCATAGATTATGAGGATCAGGAATTTGGACAGAGTACAGCAGGAATGGCTTGTCTCTTCTCTGTGACATCGGGTGTCTCAGCTGGAAGGCTTGAAGTCTGTGGGCTGGAAATCAATAGAATCTCCACACACTTATGTGTCTTGGTTGATTCTAGCAGTCAGCTGAGACCTTTGCTGAGACTGTTGAGTGGGACACCTACATATGGTCACTGGACGTGGCCTGGGCTCCCTCAAAACATGGTAGCCAGGGTGGAAAGGTGAGTGAACTAAGAGAAAGGGAGACAGAAACTGCATTTTGTTTTGACCTCACTCTGAAAGTCACAGCATCACATGCACTGTGCTCTACTAGTTGGAGCATTCATAAGACCACCATTGAAGGCCCAGATTCAAGGGGTAGGAAAATAGGCTCCACAGTTTGATGGGGGCTGGAAGGTTCTGGAAGAACATCTGGGACTGGAAATATTGCTATTTATTGCATTTATTTGAGGAAAATATGGTCTGTCATAGTTAGCCACTTTTGTTTCTATTATTCTCATCAAATAGATATACTGACCCTATTTAAATCCACCATTTACCCTTAATTCTGCCTACTTACTTACCTAAAGTTGTTCCCCCTACTTGTTATGCACCTGCCCTCCTCACCATGCCCTACTTTGCCTTTGGAAGTGGCACCCTTTCCTTCAAGAGCTGGCCCCAAACCCATCCCTTCACAAAATCTTTTCCCTGATTGAAATAATTCATTTGAATTCATCCGCAAATTTCTAAAACCAGTCATTTTAGCCCCACTTTTTCAGCACTCTTTGTATATACCTTGCATTATACGTTACCTTGCTATATATAATTCTTCCTGAGGGCAAGAATGATAATATTTAAACTTTTTGATGTACTTTGTGAAAATCAATTATTTTTGATGATCTTAAGAATGCTCCCATTTATTGTTTTTGTTGTTGATGAAGATGATGATAACACCAGATAAATAGTCTGTAGTCACATGACAAATGCAGCTTTCTAAGCACATGTGAAATGCTTCTTGCAAATACATTGCTGCCTAGCACAAACCAGTGTGGGGCTGCCTCCCAGAGCCATTCTTAGGAACATTTCTGCATGTGCTTGTGTAAAACATGCATATCACCTTTTCCTAAAGTTTCAAGATGAAGGGCGTGCTCATTCTAGTGTAGGTCCTTCAACCATCCCCTCTTCATTGGTTTTGGTTTTTCCATTTGTGGCTCCTCTTTTTTCCCTTCAAACCCTTTATACATCATCTTTCTTGTAGGCTCGTCTCTTGTCTACGTCCACTGATACAGGGATTAAAATGAAATATTAAAACACTGTTACTACATCTATATTTCCTTAGGTATGGATTTATGTTTTTGTAAATTCTAGGCACCAGATATTTTCATGTCTATTTTTACTTTTTTTTTTTTTTAAGTAAGTGCCACACCCAGCAGGGAGCCCTACAAGGGGCTTGAACTCAAGACCCCAAGATCAAGACCCAAGCTGAGATCAAGAGTTGGACGCTTAACCAACTGAGCTACCCAGGCTCCCCTTTCATGTCTACTTTTAAAAAATAGATCTCCATAAGCTCATGATTTAAGTACCAGCTACAGAACCGAGGAGGCCGCACACTGTTGTGTGGTTTTTACATTGCACAGAAGGACTCTTCTGAGAAGGCAGAGGTGAAACCTGGTGCTTGATCTACTTGCAGTATTCTCTATGTTCTGATGTGGGGCTTTACCAGCCCAGAAAGCGGGATGTCCTTTTGTAATTCAAATGAAGTTGTCAAATGTGCTGCCCTTGGTCTTGATGATGCATTTGCTATCCGAACCATCTTCTGAAGGAGTTATTTCGGGGGTGGGGGGGCATGTCTCATTTACCGCCGCATCCTTCGAACCAAACAGAACACAGAATGGGTGTTTCAAAACATTCTTGAATGACTACTATATTGATTACCAGTTATTCCAAAGAAGAGTACTTTGCAGATATGTTAGTCATCGCTGTCACCTGAAAGTGAGGTGACCCACTCACAACCTTCCTGTAGGTGGCAGAGTAGCATAGATAAGAGGATGCTGATTTAGATCTGCTGATTCCTGTTGGTTTTGGTGCATTTTTGCTGCATGCCCATAAGACTAATTCTTTTAGTCGTGATTGCTTTTTAACAAGGAGGATAAACCTAATAAATAAAAAACATTAAAAGGCAGCACACAACTGTTAAAAGCTGGCAGACGAGATGTGCGCTTTATTCAAAAAGAGTTCAATGTGGTAAGAAATAACTGGAGACCATTTCAGTCTCTCGGATATGTTCCTTTTCCCGCCAGTGCCCACCACACTACTCCAGGCTCTTGGGACTTTATAGTGTTTAGTGAGGAGAAGAGAGAGGAAGAGAAGAAGAAGTGAGGGAGGTGAAACAAGATTTAAAAAAAAAAGGGGGGGGGGCGCCTGGGTGGCTCAGTGGGTTAAAGCCTCTGCCTTCAGCTCAGGTCATGATCCCAGGATCCTGGAATCGAGCCCCGCATAGGGCTCTCTGCTCGGCGGGGAGCCTGCTTCCTCCTCTCTCTCTCTCTCTGCCTGCCTCTCTGCCTCCTTGTGATTTCTGTCTGTCAAATAAATAAATAAATCTTTAAAAAAAAAAAAAAGGGGGGGAACCCCTGGGGTTTGCTTTCTACAGGTATAGAAGAGATCTACCTTGTCCCCTCTGTTGACCTAGACTGTGTGGGGAAGGAAAGTACATGTATCTCAGCTCTGAGTTCTTCTAAAAATAGTATCTGTAATTTTTTTAAAAATTAAATTTAAAAAAAGTGAATTTATATAAGTTCTTTTTGGAGATCTAGGATAGCATTCTCTTTGGTTTAGAAAGATACTTCAGTGGGTCCATGACATGATGCAATGGAGTAAAACCAAAAATTCCTTTGCATAAGAAAGTGAACTATAAAGGAGACTCATCATACTTCTGTTCAAGTTATTTGGTCTGCCATTCCACTCAGTGGGTCTGTGAGGCAGAGGAAAGATGCCATCAAGCCTGAAACATCAATTCATACTGGTAAAACTCAGGAAATAATTGTGACTCATTTTAATGGCTTCCCCACATTGGCCATGAACTGGAACACATTGTTCAGGTGGCCGGGATTTGGGGCGGTGATGACTCTGTCAGTATTCTCAATGAAGAAATTGAAAAATTAATTGAGGGTCAGAGGGCAACTTTCATTAAAGAAGACTTATGCCTTAGACTATTTTCTGGGCACTTTGATTTTCAAGAGTGTTGACTTTAGAACTTAATCCCCACTTAACATGAGATTTTAAGAATTTTTCAGTTTTCTCTTGGCAGTCAGGGAGACCACAGTTTGGGGACTTGAGGTGTTGGCTCCATTTACTCAGGCTAGAGGCAGGGAGAAAGATGTTGAGCAAGGATTCCCTCAGTGGGTTGTGAGCAGTGAGCTTTCAGAGCAGGGATGTCTGGTATTGAGTCTTAAGTTCTTTCCTGCTTTGTGCTGTACTCGCTATTAATTGCTAACCTTCAATAAATGTCCATTGTACCATCAGCCTTGAATTATTAGTACCTGGCAGAAAGGAGAGAGGGGCTGCCTTCATTAAATATGAATGCATCTAAAATCTTTAGGACACATGGTTGCACTGGAGTATAAAGCTAACTCATATTATGTCTTGGGAATAGAAAAAGTTGACCAGCCTGGAGGAAAAAAGAGGAAATAGAGGTGATCAAGAGAGAAGTGGGGGTAATTTGGAAAAGAGCTGACAAATGACACTGAGGACATTTAAATTCTCATCTTCACTTCCTCTCATTCCCAACTTCTCTTCCCACAAATCCTGAAGAACACTAGGGAGCACCCTTGGCTTCAGACAGCCATTTGCATAGTTATTCCACTTGAATATTGAAGTACAGGGGGACCTTAGCAGACTGAAACCTTGTGCCAGTGTGGGACCTAGACAGGTCTCAAAACCTGCTCAAGAGGACTCTGGGCAGATAAGGATGAAAGAATAGGGGGAAGGAGTATATTATTCTTCAGCTAAGAAAATTTCATGCTGTTATTTGGCCATGAACCCTTCTGTGCACCTGCTATCAGTTACTAATATCAATTAATTTCAAACTGGCTATACAGTTCTGTGTTCTATTCAGGACAGAGTTCTCTCAATGACAGGGGGCCCCTTATGGATCATTGTATTTTGCAGTAAGATGTCCATGGTCTATTTGAACTAAATAAAACACAAAGCTCCATTTCTCTCTCTCCTTGTTTACTCAAAAACAAAACAAAACAAAACAAAACAAAACAAACAAACAAACCCCTTCTTTTCTTTGCCCTTAAGCTTTCCTCTTGTCCAAAAATACCCGGCACATTGTGGATGGAGGAGTCTTTGTAGAATAGTGCTTTATTGTAAGAGTCTAAAATAGCCTCATAGCATTTACTGGGTTGAGTCGGCCTCAGGCTAGCTGCAAGCCCTCCCTCAGCTTGCTTCGCTACCAACCTTACCTTCTGATGTGCAGGAGGCCTTCACCCAGGTTAGGCTTACCTCCCACGCATGCAGCATGCCACTTCGCCACCTGACTCTTCCCCGTTCTAAACTCCCTCATGCCAGGAGACCTCCAGGTCTCACAAGTCATCTTACCTGTGAAAATTTTACAAGTAATGTAGTCCATATTGATTTTGCCCCCATCTGAGTTTACGTTGACATTAGTCATTTGGATTCATCAATCAATTGAACAGTTGTTTGTTGAGCACTGACGGTATGCCAGGAACACATTGCAAATATGGTATTTGATGATGTACTTTAATATTTCTCACTTATAGGTTTATGCACTTGTTGCCAAGAAAACCTTAAGGATTACATAATTTCGTTTTCTCACAGAATTGGCCAGAAAATAGGAACACAATAAGTATCTCTTGAATTGACTAAATTATATATGCGATAAACTAGGATAAACAGTTGTTAACCCGCCACTTGTTAACTTGTCATCTTATGATCATTAACCATATTAACTGGGTGATGGGCCTTCTTTATAATAAACATTTTTCCTTATGTCCCACCTCATTAAATCTTCCATAGTGAAAAATTGTGTTTAAAAAGGTTTATTAATAGCTTGTTTTCATAGCTCAAAAAAAGGGTATTACAGACAATAATCAGCAGAACAATAAAAAACAGAACCTTACCTCTATAAAGTTAGCCAGTGTGTAGACTTTATTACATAGGCACATATTCTTTTTCTTTTAAAAAAAGTAAACTGGTTTGACATAAAATTAATCACACT